TTTTTTTTTGCTGGCGGTGATCTGCATTTTTTCCATATAAAAATATTTCAAGCATTTTTATATGGACGAAATTATAATTAACATAGGTGCCATTAAACTTGCATTTTTAGAAAAAGTTGTGTATTACAAAACTTGAAAAATGCTTTAGTGGATTTTGAATCGAACCGAACCATTCTTTGGAATAGTTTTCGGTTCTGGCATTTCAAAAGAAAAAATGGTTCGGTTTGTGGTTCGGTTCGAAGCCCGAAAAATAGCGACGGTTTGGTTCAAAGACCGGTTTAGTTTTAAACCAGTTTGAAGCCCTGCAACAAACACATAATTTTAAGTTTCGGCTTACATTTATAAAATTCAACGCAAGCATGTACATATTTCGGCTGAGTTATCCATTTTGGGTTATTTAGTGAACAAAATAAACTCAAAATAAAATGAGTTTGTACAACATGACCATTAATGTATGACCATTAATGTATTGCCAGAAAATCAAAATTTTTTGATCTTTCATAAAACCAAGACAGAAATTAATTCTAGAGCAAAACATCACCAAGTTGGATCTACGGTCGCTACGCTTATGGCTTTCTTTAAGAAACACCGGGGCGAAAAATTCAACTGCTCATGTAACACTACCTTATATGAGTTCACCTTGCTATCGTCCCCACATACATATGTATGTTCATCAGAGTCCCAGCAACCATATTCTGAACGTTTAGAATATATGAGTCCGAAAGGAGTCCTAGTTAGGTAAGAAATATGAGTTTCAAAAACAAAAAATTCTTTACTGTTATATGAATCTTTTAGGATTCATATTTGATCCAAGTTGTGAGCCAGCACCTTGTGCCAATATAAAAACAATAAAGATTTGAAATTTATATCTAAACTTTTTTATACAGAAATTGAAAATAATTAGAAAACAAAAAATTAACAAAATTTAGCTACAGCTGCTGCTATTAAATGCATGTTGGAATGTGCATATGCACGATTTAGTATGCATGTAAGTTATTTGAAAGAAATTTTTGCTGATCGCCTTTGCAAATATAGTGCGTTCAAATCGACTCGAAGAACAACCTGAAATAAGAGTCCGAATGAATCATAAATATGAGGCCGATAAGAGCCTCAAAAAGAGTCTGAAATGATTCATATGTATGTATATGAGGCCAACATATTGAGGCTCATTTGATGTATGAATTTAAGCTCATATAAGTCGACCTTCGGGGGAAGGGAAACACCCTCATATAGGACTCTTAAATGAGCTCATTATGAGCGCAAAGGCTCCGAAATAGGACTCCTTAAAGACTCATTTATGACCCCAAATGTTTGCTGGGGTATATCAACGAAAAACTAATTCATACAAGGTGATAGCGGGAGCACAAAAACTACTCTAGAAAATTATACGCACAATGACGAACATGAGCAAATGTATAACAAACACCTCATTTTTGACAATGAGTGCAATTCGCATTGATATCAACGAGCAGCGTTGCTAGCTCTAATTAGATTTGTTTTCGTCTATTTTTTGTTGTGGCGTATTAATATTTATCTCAAAAGTGTTATTGAGCTTTTTACCACGATTTGTTTCTTAGACAAAATGGTAAAACAACATTGCTTAAGCGGTAGAAGTTATAGCAGCTATTTCGGAGATCACCACATCTCTTCATCAGACTTCTTTTTTTTCTAGATTTTTCGCAGGGATGGAACCCGCGTCAGAGAACTTAGATAGATAGAGAAGGTGCAAACTGAAAGTGGAAACTATTCGCGAACGAAAAATTAACAGCGTTAGAAAAGTTCAAGTCGGAATGTAGAAATTCTGTTGAATTTAATGTTGATAACATAATACAATGTTGAGCAACATGAAATGTGATGTTCTTTGCGAGCAAATAAACGAAAATATAGTAAATCTTCACATAATTTTCATTAGTTTTAGTTTTTGTTAATTTTTTTATGTTGTTCTCCTTTTATGAAGATGCAAATACAATTTAAAATAATAATAGTTGTTTATTTAACCATTTTTTCATTGCAACTATAATTTATAGGTCCGCCAAAAAACCCACAAAA